CTCATACAAGCATTAATATAACGGACTCACGCGTGCTTACTGTACGACTCCTGTATGTCACCGCAATCGTCTCGTCTTTACCTTTATTGCAGTCTTCATCCATCAAAACTTTGTTAGCGAGACTGGTTATCCAGTCGAGAAAACGTAGGTTGCGTCTCATCTGGCCATACAGCGGTGGGATGTGTTGACAATCCGTTCAGTCTGTACTTCACACAACGCGTGTGACGCGTGAGGGCTCGCGCTCTTCAGAGACAATCACAGAATATGACAGAGCTCGTGTTTTAAAGCGAAACACTCGGAATGAATAATTCACTGAAACACAACGCGAGTCTGCTCTCTCTGCAATCTCTGATGTAATCAGCCTGGTTTCCTTTATATTAGCACTGTTTTAGACGGATTGTTTGAATGCATTTGCTTACTGGATCAGTGGACTGAAAACTTTCCCGGAGTTTAGCAGCTTAAAATGATCTGATCGCAAGCAGAGAAGCAAAATTGGGTTAAAGGATTAGAATAGAAATTGTGCTTCAGTAATTTTGCGTTAATTGCGTAAAATTATTTTAATGCGTTAAGAATTGTAAAATTAATCGCAATGCGTTAATGTTGACAGCCCTAATATATTTATTTAATATAATATATATTTATACAGCAGTTCGTTCTGGTTCTTAAATCTGATTGGTTGAGATATCGATAGAAAAAATGTTCGATATAGCGCACGATATAGGCACTTGCTATGAGTGACGCAGACAGCACACACGAACACGTGCTGAAATGAGTGCTGTGCCTGCCTGTGATGAGGAGATTGTGAATACTGCATATAAAACATTAGAAATGGGATATTTGTTTAATTTTTATTGTGTTTGATTTTTAAAACAAAAAAATATTTGTTGTTTGTCTCAATAAATTGTGTTAATTATAAATACATATATTATAATTATAAAATATTTTTCTATTGCTTTTTGTTTTAAAAAAGGTTATAACAAGTGTCAATAATTATCGATACCGAACGATATGAAACATTATATCGTTGATAAATTTTTAAGCTATATCACCCAGCCCTACAAAGCTCCATTACTCCAGCTTTCAGTCTCACAAGATCCTTCAGAAATCATGCTGACTGCTGCTCAAGAAACATTTCTGATTATTATTAGCTGTTATATATAGCTGAAAATGTTTATGCTGCTCAATAATTGTGTGGAGGTGTTTTCATTTTTCGATGAACAGAAAGATTGAAATATAAATATAAAATGGAAAATAGAAATGTGAATTATTTGAAATTATTTAAAATAGAAATCTTTATTAGCATTATTAATGTCTTTACTGTAATTTTAAATGTCTTATTGCACATTTAGCCTTTTTATTGCACATGTTCAATGCAAGACAGGGAACATATCAACATCGTATGACACACCACACTGACATACAAAAAAATTTTTAATTTTAATTGACAGCACTAAAATAGTAACTATTTTGAGGAGCATACGTATCCCATTTTTCTATTTAGTTTTCTTTTAAGTATTTGAAAGCAAACTCTGAAATGTTCTCACAAAATGTAAGAAGTATAATACATTTCTTCCATTTATGTGTGTAGATGTGAAATTTACCCAACAAAATTACCATGTTCAGTCAGAAAATGGAATTCAAAATATTCTTAAAAACAGGGTATTAACAAGGGATAAATATTAAAATTATAATTGACTGAAAGCTAATTGAAAATATCCTCTCAAAATTTAGAGGCAAAATCACAGCAGTAAAAATGGTGTTCCAGGAAAGGAAGAACAAACTGAAATCTCTTCTGTAAAAATTGCCCTGTGGATATATTCTAAGTTTTTTATTTTATTTTACTATTTATTTATTTTTTTAAAACAAGTCTCTTTAACCTTTGGGACAACATGGTATGTCAGATACAGTGTGAAAGAAACCTCAACCTCTCCAAAACTGTAGTACCGAAAATCACCAACATGCTTAAGAATTCTGTAAATTAATGTTCTTATAATAATTTACTGAAAAAAAGCACTTTACTGTCCTTTTTAATCAATTTAATGGATGCTTGAATTAAAGTATTTAATTTCTTAAAATCGTAATGCCTCCAAACATTTCAATTGTACTGTAAATATAATAACAGTCCTCATTATAAACACAAATTAATAATAAATTTTAATATTCAGTGAAGACTATTAGACTACATTTTATTTGATGGGTGCGGTAAGGGACCTGGATAATGGGTAGGGGGTGCTGGCCCAGAAAAGGTTGAGAACCAATGATCTACATGGTCAGTCACCATGGTATAAGTCACAGTGAAATCAAAATTGACAACTCTTATTTTTTTTTATGTAGTATTGCAGTGTTGTTATAAAGCAGGGGTGCCCAAACTCGGTCCTGGAGGGCCTGTGTCCTGCAGAGTTTAGCTCCAACTTGCCTCAACACACCTGCCTTCAAGTTTCTAGTATGCCTAGTAAGAACTTGATTAGCTGGTTCAGGTGTGTTTAATTGGGGTTGGAGCTAAACTCTTTAGGACACTGGCCCTCCAGGACAGAGTTTGGGCACCCCTGTTATAAAGAATTTATCCATGCACCTCATGCTCACGCTGGTGATCACAGCAGTAAGCAAATCAATTCACAATACAAAATCAATCTCTCTACATTTTGTTTCTCATTTGATAAGCCGTTTCAATCAAATATGTTACATTAGGAAAGAAAAGGCGATCACAGTTTCATGCCAAAGTTTCTGCCTAAAAAACCCTGTGTGTTAATCACGATCTACTAAATATAGACTTCATTTTGAAGAAAAATAACAAACGAAAAAATATGTAATCATAATCTCTGACAAAAATACTATTATAAACTTATGTTAGCGGATAATTCAGCAGCAAAATTTACTCTAGAAAAATCATGAGTGCACAATTTTATAAAATCTAAACATTTAGTGAAAAAAATATTATTTTGTGGGGAACAAATAAAAGTGAATAAATGTAGGACTAAATCTGGTAAAATATTACACATTGCTCTTTGTATTGTTGTAAAATACATTCATGAAAAACAATATATTTATGTATTAATATATGCTATAAAATTAAAAGTCATTTCTTTTAAATGTGTAGCAAAGTGAAGAGGCAACAACATACAGTATGACAGATAGGACAGAGCAAGAAAGACTATTAATAATCTTTCATTGCACAAAAGTATGATACGAAAGGGTATGGCTCCAATACAGACCGGCACAAAGCGCTTATGCGCATCCCGTTGACGTCTTTGCGCAGCTGAAACACTGATTGAGTGATTACATGAGACAGGATACGGATTGTAAAGTTGTATTCTTTCTTTTAACTTACCTTCGGATG